CACTTGAAGGGAGTCATGAGGGTTCCTACGGTCTAGTCCCCTGCCACCAGCACATTTGGTAGAGCTGGATGTCCACCTGGGAGCAAACTCTCCATGGGCAGGGGGTCCAGAACTCCTCAGCAATCTCCGACGATGATGGCTGGTAGTTGAGCGGTAACTGGCACCAGACCCTGAGCTACACACTTTTGGATGCGTTATCCCCATTTGGGGGATGAAGCAATGGAGGCTCGGGTGATGGTGTGGCTCGTCCATATCAGTGCCTGTGTGTCCTGGGCCCTGGGCGAGAATATGTGCCCCTGGTGGTTGTGGCTCCTGCCTCCTGGGAAGACTCTGTCAGTGTTGAGCAGGTGCAGGATTGCACCGCGGCAGCTGTCGCATGGTCAGACCCACCTGACCGACTTCTGTCATCCTCCGGTTTCGGCCAGGAGGCGGGAATATTTGTCTCCCTCGTGAGCCTGGGAGAGTCTGTGCAGAATCCTACTGGCTGCCCCACACGGTTCTCTGGGAGTCTGTGTTCTTTGAGAGACGGGAAGGAAGGCAAGGATGGGTGACCAAACCCCGTGACAAAGAACAAGACCTTACTCACTGTTTCTTCTCTTATATTGTCCATCAGCCCACTGGGTGGGCCTGCGGGAGCTTGTGTAGATACTTGCTCATTAAAAAGATTCCAGTGGTGTTCTTTCATCCATTCATGAGGCACTTTTCATTTACATATGCATTTTTGCATTTACACATTAATTCATGCATTTATTACTTTTAAAAAACTCTTTCAGTCCTTACTTACCTCTCCATCCATCCATTCATGCACGCCTTTTTGCATTCATTCACTTCTTCACCTATCATGGATGCGTTAGTTCATTCATTCAACAGATCAAACACTTTGAAATGAATTTAAGCCTTTGGGGAAAGGTGGAATAGTTTAACCATGACCCCAGGTAGACCCTGGGCATCTTTCTCATCATTGGGTGTAGAGGCACATGAAGTGGGGTACACAGTGCCGGGGGCCCCGAGAAGAAATCATTGGCCCATGAGAGGCACCGCTAAACCTGTCCACCGTGACTGGGGGATCCAGATACCACTTGCGTGCTGGGGTCTTTGAGGCCTCCCTCCCCAGGGCTTCCCCACTGCCTGAGAATTTATAGGGTCCTCCCAGGACCTCCTCAACAACAAGTCTTGTGACCCTGAACCATCCTTGGGCTGCTCGTGGAACGTGAGACCTGGCAGAATCCCCCACGGGGAAGCAGTAGACAGTTAGGTCCAGGAACCAGGACTGCGGTGTGACAGAGAGGACCGGAGGAGCTGTCTGTCCAGATGAACTCATGAGGGGCATACGTGGAGTGGGTAGCAGATGCAGGGAAGGGCACCGTGGGGATAAAAAAAAGGTACCAAAGGTCCTGTAGAACTAGCATTTCCTTCTCTTCCTCCACCAAGTTTCCATCCATATTCTTTTTTAGAACTTCACAGTATCAGTGAAAGACGGGTGAGATGAATGTTACGGTGCCTGTTTCACTAGTTGAGATTCTGTATTTGGAAGCACAGAAACCATAAAATGCAATGCGAAGATTAGGTGAGATTTCTAGCAGTAGTATTCATGTTGTCTGCAAGCCATGCTAAGAGCGAGAGTATTTTACACTTGGACATGAAGTATTTGGGGCCCGACCTGCCTCCACCAAATGGGTGAGGATTAGACATAACTTTCATGCCCGAGCTGGTGTCATGAATATAGGTTGATTGTAGAGATGGCTTAGATGTGGACTTCTTTTGGTTATTTGCTCTCCCGCTCAATTTTCCTTACTGTGCATGACTCCAAATGCATAGCGGTGTTTTTCCTGTTTTACAGACTGTGCTTCAAGTATCTAGCTACAAGGATCCTTTGGATAAGTAGAACATCAACCAATGGATGGCTTCATCCATGCGGGCTTGTGTGGGGCATCTGTTGGTCCCAGAAGATGTTTTCAGCCCTTCCCACTCTATGAATACTTTCCTCACCGCATGGAAGGTGGTGTGGGTGGCCAGTTGGAGACTCACCCGGCCTTCCTTTAGACCGTACTTAACTCCCACGGCACCCTCCTTCCCCCAGGTACTCTTGAAGCCTCACCCCAAGAAGCCAAGCCACTCACTACAAGGTGGCCTGTAGGACCTACCTATCAGAACCCCACCCACTTGAATCTCAACTCATGGCCAATCTAAAGAGTTCTTACTACCGCCGGTTCCCTAGGTAACCGAAGCGTCTCCTTGCGGAGGACTACAGGAAAAGGGAGACACACAGGCACGCAATTCCCCCTGTGCGTTGCCTTCATCCTCCAACCAGCTCGGCGCCCAACCGTCCCTATGCTTATTGCTCTACTTGATTTAAAATACACAGCCATAAACACTCAGGGCAGCCTGCAGCATGGCCGGATATAATATTAATTTCTTTTCTGGTTTATTTGTGAAGGAGTCGACCATATAAATCACTTTAAGCCACTAAGACAGAAAGTGAAAATCACAATGGAGAAGTATAGTGTGTTACCATTAAAATCAAAGAAGAATATGTGATCAATTTGAGGTTCCTAATGTGGGTGTAGTTTTGTTAACCTTGCTTTAGATTATGTGAAACGCTCAGAAAGTATTTTTTTTCCCCCCTCTCCGTTTTAGTGGGAAGCGTTTGGGTACCTACCTATCAGCAGCCTATCATTAGAAAGTCTGGTGTCTGCTGGACAGTCTCCTTGTAATGCCATTTTTCATGACTTGTTTAATTAACAACCATTTTTGACCTAGACTTGTTATAAAAGTGTTGCTATTCTCTCCTGCTAAATTATGTCTAATGAACATATTTGCATGTTATCTGATATAGCAATATATCATTTCAAATTTTGGCGTTTAAGCCTGCACCACTCAAAACAGCTTTTGTGGATTAGTAAGCAGGTGAAATAAAAAATCTCATTTCATATCTGACATTAATAACTTTCAGGGGGAATGAGCATTGGCATTTATGTCTGGACCAGAATCGAGCCCAATGTCCTAGAAACACAAGGGCAGCAGACAAACCTACTCACCAGATAGGAAAATAAATCATGCATAATGCAGAATTTCTACCTTACATGTTAATTAATATGTGCAATCAATTACTGATGTTACAATATGAGAAAGAAACTGGTGGGGAATGGGGTAATAAAAAATACCTATAGATTTATCTGCTTCTTTTTTCTATTTAAACAAATAGTCTTCAAGCCTGTGAATGCTGTGTTGAGACATGCTCTGAATAATAAGCATCATAAAATCTAATCAGATTTATAAGAGGAATTGATTGTTGTGGCAGGAGGAGAGGGTGGAAAATAAGCTGAAATTTAAGTGTTAATTTTTATGCTAATCCACAGTGGCTTCATATGAAGCAATTTTGTTCTGCGCCACAAATATAAAATTGTCCCTTGCAGAGAAATGTCAGCTTGCTAGACCTGAAAGCAGTAATTTATTAGGTATGTTTCTATTAGTATGTGTCACAGTTGTTAGCAGGCTATACACACAATGGTGCTTCATACTTATCCTCCAAGTCTCAGAATGTTTCAGCTCAGTGGCTGGAACGTGGGGGCATTAATACATTATCATATGCGGGGTGGTCTGTGCCCTGTGGACAAAAGGCTATTTAATACAATTTAATGTCATTCTGAGAAGAAGTGGAAAAATAAAGACAGGGAATAAAATGGCATCTGTGTGTTTCACAGTGCACTCATGCACAAACCCTCAGTTTAAGAGGTATGACATTTCTGCCAAGAAAAAGAATAAAACTGGGGCATTTTTTTTTTTTTTATAACCTGTTCCCCACTGCAGTATTTTCTAAATGCTATTAAGTGATCGATTTACACGGCCCCGTGATGATGTCATCCATAAGAAGGGGAATGCAGATGACAGCAAAATACTAGTGACAGTGACCTTGTTTCAGAATCCTTGGAACCCTGTCAGCTTTGCTTCCAGTATATGGTTTCAAAGAATGTACTTTTTGGACAATATCTAGTTACTGGGTAGTGAATTAATAGAGTTAAGGCTCTGATGCAATTCACATATAGGTCAATTACATGCACCAACATCTGCTCTGTCACTATCATTTGCATATAGCATTCATATGTTAATGATGCCTCTTTTTACTCAAGTAATATATTTAAAAAACAAGATTTGCATATCAGTTCGGATCAGTATATTACAAGCAATTTATCATTTTCTCCTTCTTGTTATGATTTTAAGAACAGTATCTTGAGTGATGGCTGCTATATTTGAGCAGGGCTCTGATTTATACAAGAAACCCTTCAGTGAGAAAGCTTCCATTCTAAAGCTGCTTAAAGCCTTATAAATCAATAATGACACAGATGGACTGGTGATAATCTATTTAGAATGCCTGATAGCAAATATTGTTGTACAGATGATTAGAGTGGTAACTGTTTGAGCAGAAAGCCTCGCCTCTCTTTGTAAACGGTAAGTTTGAACAAAAAAGTGCTCGCACACAGACTTCGTGTCAGGAAATCTCTGCGTCGGTCCGGATTGCAAAAAGGGGAGAACATGGGGGTGGGGGCGGAGAACAAAGGGGCTTCCCGCGCTCCTGCCCATATAATCATATCAATCCCTGTTTCTTTAACAAAACAGGACCTCTTAATGGAATTGTGTCTTCAGGTGCAAATAGCATTAAAACCTGCTTCTCCGTTCCTCCTTGCCCTGATACAGCACAAGGATGGGAAAATAAAGTGGAGGTTGTCAGAAGTGGTAGCTGCTTGGAATCCTGATAAATATAAGCTTTTATTGATCTGATGAAAATGAAAGATCCCAGTGCTAGGCAGTATTTAGCTTCTTGTCTACAGCACGTCACCGGTGGCCTTGCATGGGATAGATTTTCATTCTCCTACACAGGCTTTGATTTCATCTTTAACCTTTTCAGCTGAATTTCCTTGACCTCTGCATATTGCTGTGATTTGGTGAATTTGTTACATTTCACTTTACATCATTTCTTTCTCTATTTCCTTTTGTGATAGGGAACCGGGACGCCCCTCTGGCGATCTGTCAGTGCCTGGATCGGCTACATCCTTTCTGGGGTATTTTGTTACCAGACTGACAGTCCTTAAGACAAGTATGCAGTTAAGCTGCTAAGGTAAGTCTTACGATCTTAGAGCGCTTTGCCCTGGACACACATCATTTCCTCCTGCTTTGTCGAGTTGACCTAACACAAATCCCAACCAAACAGCCCTTCGCTTCCTCCTCCTGGCCAGGGGTTTCCTCCCAGCCTCCCCCACCACCCCGGTAGGTAGGACTGGTCTGCCTGGCTTGGCAGGAAGCTCTGGGTGAGTGGTGGCTGGCGGGACCTTTCCCCACACAGCGAGGCCTTCCTTTGTGGTTTGGGTGTGTCTGGGGATGGGCGGGGAGGGGGAAGAAAGGAATCTGGAAAAAAGGTGATTTTCCCCTTGGAGGTTTAATTCCCTTCTCGAGTTTTCTTCTGGGATGAATCTGAGGCTTCAGTTCGCAATCCTGAGGTGCCGCTAACATATTCTGGTTCCGAGAAAGGGCCGCTGTTATTTGGAGTAGTTTTGATACAACCAAATCAAAGTGAAGATTTGAAATAGCTTTTCTGAAAGCCCAAGCTGAAGTCATAAATTATTCTGCACCATGATTCTTTCTGATAGTAAAACCATACCTCTTTGCCTGACATTGCTGAAATGTGGAAAAGTGAAAGTTAAAAATAAAATGAAACATTTAAATCTTGGCTGTTGAGAACCTCAGATAGACATCAAGGCCAGTCGATAAAGGCCCCTATCAATTAGGCTCCTACAGTTATCATCAGATTCGTTTATTAGCAATTGCACAGGTACGGGGTTCTGGCATTGAGGCCGGGAGGGGCCAGGTGAAATGCAGGGAAAGACCATAAACTGGAAAGTGAGGGTGCGGGGTGCCACGGTGCTCTTGGTGGTAGGGCCCAGGGCTGCCGTGGTGCCCCTGCCTCATGTGATCTCATAGGAGAAAATACCTGCAGCCAAAGGGTTGGAAGTTGCCCCCCCGCTTTTTTTTTACCCCCTTTATTTGAGTTAGAAAGTGTTGGTTTCACACCGTGGTGAGTGTTTTCCGTTAGCTTCTTGGTGGGTGTATTCCGTGTTAGGAACGAGGAGCAGTGAACACCAGCAGTGAACACCAGTGAACACTTTCAACACCCCAGAAGGTATTTTGTGGCTTCCGTCAGCCTCCCCGGGCAGTGGGGAAGTCTGTGGAGCACCGGTCTTCTCCAGCGATGGAGAAGCCCAAGGGCTTCCCGGCCCTGGGCTTCCAGACTGAGCGGTTTGGCTAGTTCCCTCCTCAGCATATCCCAGGCAGAGCAATTTTTGGTTCCATAGCTGTTTGGTTGGGAAAACAAGCCTGTGATTGCCAGTAAGGTTTAGAATTTGCCTGCCAGATAAGGGAATGTCTGTGAAGACTATTTTCCCTCTTGGGAGGCAAAACACAGATGGGGGAGTTAGGAGTCTTACAATATTTAGCTGCTACATTGATGGTAGGAATTCTGCCGCGTGGATGCTCACAGTTTCTGAGAGCCCCGCGGAGCATCACTGCCGAGAGAAGGTTGAGCCGCCGCCTCTGACCAGGTGGAGGGACCGAGCCGGAGGCGCTGGATTGACTGGAGCTTCTTGTGTGAATGGACACAGCCCTCCTTCGGGTGGTTTCTCAGACTCTGGAGAATAGGCCACGCACCAGCCTCACCAGGTTTTCTGCCTCAGAAGCCTGCATTTTAAAGGCCTGATCATCTCGGCATGCTCTGGGCCTCCTGGAAGATAAAGAACAACGATGCGATGTTGTTGGGATTGGCCATGAGAAGGCGGGGAGATTTTCCCGCATGGAAAAGGTAAATCTTGGAATAAGTTTAGGGTCATGTGCATGGAAGTAGGATTTGAAACCTTATATGCAAGAGCAAATTCTGGGCCCTGGAGACCAGGAAGGGGGACAGGTCTTAGAGACAAGCTCCTTTGTCCTGACTTCCCGCCTCAGCACCGGGGACTCTTGGGCCCTGGAGTTGGACTGTCTCTCCGAGTAGCTTGGAGCCGTGATGTGCTGGCTGGGCCACTTCTGGACTCCTGAAGGGACCTGTCGGGACCCTTGCTTCTGTCCTTTCCACCAATGCCCTCCCCATCCTTTGAAATGGACACTTGACCTTCAAAGTGTTCTGTGAAATGCTATACAAGGGCAACTTTGGGACAACCAGACAGCCCCCACGAGGTGCCATTGCATAGAAACCCTAAGTGACCTGTCAGTAACCGAACCTCTCGCACGCATCAGAAAACGATTTAATATCCCACCACAGCATGGATTTCCAGAGCATCCGGGCAAGGATGGGAGGCAGAGCCATGAGTTGGGGCCAGCCAGCCCTCCTCAGTGTCATCCTTCAGAAAGAGCCCAGGGCGTGCAGAGGGCAGTGGACCTCAGAGACCATGGGACCTTGCCCCCCTCTGACAGACGCGGCAGGGTCCCTCTGTGCGAGGTGGCAGGGGCGGGGCGAGGGCGCTGGCCCTGCCGGGCCCCGGGCTGTCCCGAGGCGGCCCCGTTGTCCTGGCACGGCTGCGTGAGTCAACAGCCCTCCTGCAGCAGTAATCACTTCAGCTAAATGCTGTGGGAGCGGCACTCTGGGAACACGGAGGAGGGAGGGAATAATTGTAATTTCTATGTGATAATGATGATAAGCCCTGCATATGTGTGTGGGGCTTTGCGTCGTATTTGATCTTCACCAGGAGATCTCCAGGCTCATGGAGGTAAAGATCAAGATCCCTGCAAACGCCTACGTAGCAGCTGAATGAGGTAGTAAGGCCTCGTGCCGGCCGCGAGCCCGAGAGAAAACAAAAATCAGAGATAACTCAAACTCTGGAGAACAAGTGGGGTGGTTCCCGGCCCAGAGTTTCTTGGGATCATCTTCATTGTCGCTGTGTGGCTAGCAGGTAGCTGTTGATATTCGTTCCATTTTCCAGATGTGGAAACTGAGGGCAGAGAAGTTAAGTGGCCTCCCTCGTGTCACACAGCTGACGGATGGTAAGGCTAAGGTTTGAGCATGCGTCTTTCTGATTTTGGAGCCTGACCCCTTGGCTTTGGAGCAGCCCTGGGTACGGCCTTAGCCAAGACAGACAAGCTCCCTGCCCTTAAGGAGCTTCTGTTGTGGGGCTAGGAAGCAGTAAACAAGGCAACCGTGGAGAAGCTGACGTCAGATAGTGATAAAGTGCAATGAGGAAGGTCTGGGGTGGGAGAGAGGGAGGGGAAGTGCTCTACTTGAGAGGGGTAGGTGGTGAGGAAGGCCCTCCTGAGGAAGGCACCTTGGAAGTGAGAGGGCTGAAGGACATGGAGGAGCCAGCCTGGTGACAATCTGGAGGAAGAGCATTCCCAGCAGAAGGAAAGGCAAGTGCAAAGGCCCTGTGGTGAGGGAGAATTTGGCATGTCTGAGGGACAGAATATAGGCCAGTGAGGCTAGAGCACTGTGAGCTCTGGGGAGAGGGTAGGTGGGTCAGAGGGCCTGAATTGGACATGGCTTTGTAGCCATGATGAGGAGTGCTGGCTTGGTTTTATGTCTGTGTTGCTTGTGACCAGAGGTGTCTTGAGAAGCCCACCTTGCTACGTGTGGGCATGCTCCTACGTGCCCGAATTCTGTAAGTGACATGAGCCCGCTCATGTTTTGCCATGGCCTTTATTTTCTGCTAGAGGAATGTCCTGGTTACTTGTCCAAAGCTGGGAGTTAGGGATTGTAGGCTCTGTGGGTGCAGGAAAGGGAGCCAGCTGATCTGGGGGCTCTGCCCTCAGAGGCGATGTGGTGATTCACAGTAAGGCCTTGCAGCTGCTCATCTGGACCTTCCTGTGCCCCCCCAGTTGTGGGCTTGGGCAGAGTTGCAGGTGGAAAGCTTTGGGGGCTCCCTTATCAGGGAGCCATGGTCTGCCTGAGCCCGTGTGGGCCTCTGGGAGGGGCCTGCGCATCCCACGCACTGCTCCAAATGGGGCTGTGAGCACTGTCTGTTAATGCTGATTCAGGGGCTGTCCAAGAACATGCACACCGAGTTTCAGAGTTAAGATTCTTGGTGATTATAGTTTGGCCTCTTTTCCCTTGTGAGCCTGGGTATTGCCGTCACAGAACCCCAGGGCTAGCAGAAAACTTTGCCATCAAAGCTACCTTTATTTTATAAGTTTAGAGACTGAGGCCCAAGGCGTGTTTGTGCCCAGCCCAGCCCTCACCTGAGCACAGCGGGCTGTCCCTCAGGCCACTGTGGGCAGCGTGGGGGCCACTCCTGGCTGATGGAGGCCGTGGCAGGGACTGGGGCTGTCTCTGTCGGTCCAGCCGCTCTCACAGCTCCTAGAACAGTTCCTGGTACACGGAGTGGTCAGCAGTCATCCGGGGGCATTGATGGAGAGCCTCTCACCTCTGCAGTTTGTAATCATTAGAATTTGTTGCACCTTGCTTTAAGCAAACTCAATTGACCTGTACCAATTCCACACCGCTTTCCAAATTTCCTGGAACGCAAGGATTGCCAAGCCTAAGTCCTACTTGGGCTTGATGTATGCCAACCTTCAGGACACAAGGAGGCCAGGACCTGGCTGAGGAGTCCGGATACGTGTACAGATGATAGAGGGCTGCCCCTCAGGTATTCTTCTCGGCCCATTTTAGGGCTACAGAACCCCAAAGGTTTTGAACAAAGAACATCAGTGCTGAAGCCAGCTCAGCTAGGGGAGGGCTTGGGCTCTGCCCCAGAGTGAGTTCCTGAGGATGGGGACACCTAGGGAGGATTTGGCCCGGCCTTTTACTGTGTGCCCGGGACAGGCCTCAGCTCTCTCTGGGGTGTTGTCCTAAACCCAAATGCAGGCAGGGTCTCGGTGGTAAATGCGTGACGCTGGGTGTGGACAGAGCAGGCTGGGGAGAGCGGACCCTACTGAAAGCATCCCCCAGCCCTCGTCATTGCAGCCACCTCTGGCTCTGGGCAGACTTTTTGCAGGTCTTCATAGTTTTTAAGGAAAGACACTTAAAAAAAAATCCAGTTCTTTTTCTTTTCTTTTCTTTTTCTTTAATATTAGCAACTAATTTGAGTTTTAAAAAACCTTTCTACAAATGCAAGCGTCTGTAGACTGGGCTGAGCTGCAGCCCGT